ACCGCGTCCGACCATCTCGTCGGTGCCCTGCCCCTAGCGCGTCTGCCTTCCATACTGTATGATACTTAGGTTACACAAAAAGTATCTTTATCTTCTAACGCAACCAGATCTGAGGCTGGTGGCCGTAGTAAATGTTGTTCGTCTTGGTAAGACCTTTCAAATGACACTACAAACATAACTATTGGAGCCGGGTACCATTCTGCAAAAAAGTATGTATATCTTCGTACACAACCAGATCTGAGGCTGGTGGTCATAATAAAAGTTGTTTATCTTGGTAAGACCTTTCAAACGATACTAGACACATATCTATTGGAGCCGGGTACCATTTTGCCCATTGTCCTTTGAACCTTCGAGGTCATCTGGAAGTGGTTAGAATTTGGTCTATAGGTCAGACATGTAGATTTTTGGACGTCAATACCTAAAGAACCGTTTGAGGCATATTTATGAAATTTGAAACTGATGTATATCTTGCAAGTCTCAACACTTGAACCAAATTTGAAGTGTTAATGCACAGTAGTTTTTGAGTGATGCGGAGTCAAAAATGGCTCAGAGCGGTTCGTCTAAATATACGCACGGTGCCCCCAGTCCCCTCTCTGGAACTAGGCTTAACATGCTCCCGCATGTCTAGAATGATTGTTCAATGTTGATTTAGTCGATTTTCTCCTAATGGGAACATGTAAGACAAAAATAAAATTTCCAATATTACAGACCTTCTAGAGCAGATGCCGCGAAAACTACGTGGGACACTATTTAAGTTGTGAGCCTAACTATGAAAACAAAGTAGTTTATTATTAAAATGGTATTGATTGCGTTTATTGGTATTGTCTTTCATGATTTATGTACTTTTTAATGTGTCCGAAACACTTATCATAGCATTTTTTCCACTCAGCTTGAAGCACCTCCAAAGCATGGTTTTTGACCGCACCGACAGTTGCTTCTGGCTACATAAATCGCTGTACACGCATTTAATTTTAATATATGGGTACCATTAGAAGTGTTTAGATTCCAAGCAAGAATTTTGTAGCGTTGGACCTGTTTTTTTCATATTCTGAGTGTTTAAATAGTCAGTTGTTTGACGAGACGTGTAAAAGCTCACATTTTCGTCACGAGTGGCGATTCGACTATGCTGGTCAGTTTCCCTTATTAAACTGAAGACTTTTGGAAAAAAAGTGGCTGTTTACTATTAAGAATTAACCATTCTAAATTTCTCTAGTGACGTTTCTGTCATATAATCGGATATTTCGGAAAAATAGGCGACCGTAAGTTTCAAAGTGTTCCAAGCGCATGGGACTTTTGTTGGAATTGGTTTATCTTAAAACACCTCCATAGTCGATAGCTGTTTATTTTCAGGATCATTATGCATAGATCCTTAATTCGTCAACTGTCACAATTTTAAAAACGGCTTTTAAAGCTTTTTAAACGTATTTATCAAACATTTCCAAGGACTAAACGACACAAGCGTCCTATTGTGCGTTTTAAAAATTTTGTGACATCCAGCGAGAAAAAAACGTATTAACCAAAACAGTGCTGCTAACATTTAAATAAATATGACGTTTGCTAACGAATAAGGTTTTGCCAATGATATTATATAAAAACAAAAGCAGATATGTTATAAGCGCTCGCGCTGTGAATACTCAAATACGTCCCAATTGGGACGTCTTGTGTTTAGTCTTCGTGTGGCCTGCGTCGTGCGCAATCGCGTGCGTACCACACCGTAAGTTCCTGTTCTTACCAAAATAAATAAAAAATGCCATCGTGTGTGTTTCGAAAGTGTACCAATTATGACTCTAAAGTAAACAAAATACAAGGGATCTCTTACCACATGTGATTATGCAAAATTATTTAGTATTTATATTTTCAATTATTTATGCAAACAATCAAGACACCATGCGCCATGTTCAAGTTAAGAAAGAGAAAGCGATCTTGTTTTGACGTTAGAGCGATAAGGATGCGTGCGCTGCGGACATAGATTAGTTACTGCAGAATCGTTAAAACTATAGCTATCCCTTTCATTTGCGTGCTATTTCGTATCTTTTGTTTCACTTATCAGTTACATTTGTCAATGTGTGCAATTTGGAATAGCTCGGCACGGATTCAAATCGTAATTTCTATGAACGTAACATATCTATAGTTCTTTAATATCATTGGGTTTTGCTTGTTTATTTTTCTATCCCATCAGTGCAATGCAATGATGACATTGACCAATTATTGACAATAGTTTTTTTTATTTAATAGAAATAATAATGGCAGGTTGAACCAAAAAGAAGGTTTTAGTTTATCAATCATATTAATCTTCTTGACAAGATAAATCGTCAAACAACTTTGATCTGAATAATTTTGAACTTTACTGACGAACAGTTAAAGATTATTTTCTCTAACTCGAGATTATTCTGTAACATAGTTTCAAAAGGTAATATGTGCTCGCCATTCGTTGAAGGAATCAATTTGAAAACTGACGAACCTTTTCATTCCGTGACTGTACATTAAACCTACCTTGGCGTCGGGCGCGGGCACGAACACGGGCTCGCTGGGGTAGCAGTCGGCGCTGCTCCACGTCAGCGTGGCGCCCGTCCACGTGTCCACCTTGATCACCTGCGCCCACAGAAGCCCGTCACTGACAGTACTCAAAGGATCCAAGGGGATTATAGAAAAAGCTGTTAAAATCAGCCATTGCTACCATGACTACCATCGCTTAAAGATCTTGGGCAGATCAGAACCAGGGGTGATAAAAACTAACCGGATTCGTACCTATTAATATTTTAAGTTTATATGACAATGGGCAACTTACCGCACCAGGGTATTCCGCATCAACATCTGAACTGATGGCATAAAAATAGCGATACGGACGACCTGTGGAAAAAATAACAGTATTTTTCATAATCAGCTCATGGCCCTGGTAATACAATGGGATCCAGTAACATACAGATTGTTATGAATCAACAAAGAAAAAATTACGCAATTCTCTTCTGTGTGTAGATACCCAAAAAGTTCTATATCGACTAACATAACTCAGACTGAAACTCCCAGAATCAAGAAAAGGAGGCCTATTGATTTCAGTATGTAAAAAGTTGTTGGCTCTCTAAGGACAAGATTCTGGCAGGGAAAGTTCCATTCCCATTCATGGGAATGGAACTCACGGGAACGGTGAACTCACGGGAATGGTGGCATTCACACGGTGAGGGGAATGAAGATGAGAATGAGAAGTAATTGGTTGATGGGTTACGCCCGTATTCACAAACATTACTATGAGGTCTCACAGTGCGTATTGACGCACAGGGTGACACACGAACCAATCTTTGTGATTGGTGCTCTATTCTTCGATTTCGATTTGCTGCTTTAAGCAAGCATCGTTTGTGAATATGAGT